CTGTCTTCTGACCTTTGTTGTAGATCTTTGCTGTAGTTATACCCTTCGCACGTACTGAAGTTCAGGTGCAGCTCTACAAAGTTAGGACTTATCCAGCTGTGTCTGGCTTGGTTCTGGCTGCTGTGCTCAATCCTTTCCGCTGCTGCCCTTAAGGGTGAACATGTTGTGGCCCTGTGGCGAGATGTTTTGCTCCTGGACTAGCTGGTTGGATCTATTGTGTACACTCTCCCCTTCAGACGTTGCAGCTGCAGGATTACACCTCAGGCGTGTATGCCAGGCCTGAGCTGTGCCTGGAGGGGGCAAGGTGAAGTTGGCGGAAGAGGAAGCTCTCCTCACACTCACTGGACCTGGGCTAGGACTGGGTCTGGGGGCTCCCGGAACTCGGCAGAAAATCCTACTCGGCAGGCGGGGTGGGGGAGGCACTGTGGAGTGGTGGGGGGCAGCCCAAGGGGCTGGGAGAGGGTCCGGACCACGCTGCGCCTGGGCTCGGACTGGTCCCGCCGGCATAGGGTAGCAGGAAGCTCTCCGCACACTCACCGGACCTGGGCTAGGACCTTTGAATTTATTTTTTAAGAATTTTATTGAGAATCAAATAGCAATTAGTTTGAAAACCGATTAATAGGACAGTTCAATAATTAATACATTGCATATTGTTGTCTTAGTGGTTATTTATTGTACAAGATGCAGGCATGATATCCTGTCCACAAACACAATAAGAACAAATCTTTCTATTCACTGAATTAAGAAAATGTGTCTGTATATCTATTGTAACTGTTTTGAATATACAGTTACAAAATAGTTGTTCATTTGTATCCCCTATTTTGTTGATTTTTGTCAGAGAAGAGTATTCCATTGTAATTTAAATATAATAGGTGCGTGAATTCAGCAAAATATTCCACGATAGCCCAATTGTCCCTAATATTAGTAGGTTATCCATAAGACTGTCAATGTCAGAAGTTGTTGACCTGAGTATTTTACAGCTTAGCATATTAACATAGCTTTACTTTTTATATTTGGTTTTTATCATTTTCAACTGGATGGTTAAGACCAAGATAAAGCAAGACCTATATAACAAGAAATGTATCTTTTGTATCTGATAAGGTCAGTCAAATCCCCTCAGGATTTATGGTGAAGCCCTGTACCGCAGTTTGTAGGTCCTTTGTCAGTGTCAACCATGTGGAAGAGGCATGGCCATTGCTTGACCAATTTGCTTTCTGTGAAACATGGAAAGAATGTTTTCTCTCCATGTGACTCTCCTTTGGCACAATCTATATCATCAATCACTTTCCTATGTGTCCCCATAATCTTCTTGATCAGAAAATTTGAGACACAACTGAGTTATAGGATGTTAGAGTATAGATTCTTCTATGTTCTGAGTCTTCACTGACCTTGAAAAGCTAGGGCCAAAATGTTGACTGTCCTTGCAGCCATTCTTTTTCTCTAACTTTTGTTCTGTAAACTTAGGTTGCTTACCCTCCAGAAGAGAAGCTTATTGTTATTACTCTACAACATAATTGTTGAGCATAATCTCACTATCTGGCTGAATATCCAACATCTTAGGCATAGCAAGGAACAGGCACTTTCCATCAAGTATTGATATGTTAAACTTTAATTCCCTACAGAATATGAAGAAAAAAATTAAAATATATGCAACAGTATTTTTTAAAAAGTAGGAATTAACAATTACATATTTTTACACAGAAGTTTAAAAATATTACATTATACAGTATTGCAGTAGTACTGTCCTGTGTCACTTTTTTCTTGTCTTTTGTTTGCATT